GTTATAATGCCGCGTAGTAGCCGGTTAAAATCCTTAAAAGTTTGATGGTAAAATACACTACTGGTCCCTTACGTTTAGTTCTTATGCACTTTAATACTTAAACTTCAATTTTATTCAATTTGGTCCCTAATTTTGACCTTTTTTATTGCATTTTAGTTCCTTAGCTTTTAAAAGATTTACACTTAAGTTCTCAAATTTGCCAATTTCATGTTTCAATCCTTATTTTACGCAAATTATAAAAATCATATAAAATCTAATAAAATCACATTCAATTAAGGGTATCTTGTCTTACAATGTAACATCCGAACCATCAAAGAGGGGAAGGAGAATAGAGACAAAAATTTTAGCCATTATAACACGGTCTATAAAAAAAACTTTTGTTCGCCTTTTTTATTTTTTGTTTTTTATTTTAAAATTAATTTTCAAAAGGTGCATGTGCACCACGCCTGACAACATGCCAGGCAATGCACTACTTCTATTTCATGCCTAAATAATTTAACTGCTAACAATTATTTTAATTTTTTTTAATTAATTTTTTTTTTTGAGATGAATTAAATAAAATGATATTAATATAACTTTTTAAAAATTTTATTTAAATAAATGAATTAAAGAAGTGATGTTTTGCTAAGTATTTATTCAAAAATTAAATATTTAAAATGTAAATTTATATAAAATATTATTAATTGTAATATTATGGCACAAAATGAGAGATTTTGCATTGTTAAAAACTATACATGCTCTAATAGCAACCATCTAATATTGTCGATATGTTAAATAGAAAGCTAAAAAATTAATCGCATATGTCAATCTCCATTGATAAAACATATATCTCAGCGAGTATTTGCAGGGTTTAGAGAAAAGGCAATTAAATGAGATCCTCAAGGCTGCTTCTCATCTTGTTTTCCACCTTTTTTCACACATACCTCGTCAATTTAAGCTTTGCTGCTGATTCCTTTTTCCAGTCTCGTTGTCTTCCCAATGGCAACTTTGCTGATGGCAGTACTTACCAGAACAACCTCAACTATCTCTTCTCCCAGGTCTCGTCTCAGGGTATCAATCGTGCGTTCTATAGTCAGATAAATAGTGGGAGCCCCGACCAGATCAGCATAACCGGATTCTGCAGGGGAGACCAACAGCAGGATGCATGCCGTATTTGTCTCAACGACATCATCTCGAAGATTCAGCAGAACTGCTCCAACTACAAAGAGGCAATTGGGTGGTCGGATTTCTATATGTTACACTACGCAAACCGATTAATCTCCAGAGAGGTTGCCGAAGTCAACCCCTTCATAATACGACCTACTGGTACAACAAGTGATGATCAGTTCAATCAGGCGGTAAGGTCGCTGTTGTCTACGTTAACAAGCCAAGTGGCAACCGGCACTGGAATTTCTCTTCAAAATTATGCATCGGGTGACACCGGTTTGGGAATTTACGCACTTGTGCAGTGCACTCCCTATCTGCCGTCGGAAGAATGTAGCAGTTGTCTCGAGACAGCCATAGGGAAGATGCCTGGAACTACAGGCTGCAAAGGAATGACCGGATGCAGAGTTCTGCTACCAAGCTGTAACTTGAGATATGAGACTTACGGCTCTCCGTATTCACCCCCTCCTCCGAATGATAATCCTCACCCACCATCGTCTCTGTCTTCACCCCCTCCTCCGAAGGGTAATCCTCACCCACCACCGTCTCCGTCTTCACCTCCTCCTGCTCCTCCTCCACCGAAAGACGATGTTCCTCAGCCATCACCGTGGCCGTCTTCACCTCCTCCAGGGAAATATGTTCCTCGGTCGTCGCCGTCGTTTCCTCCTCTATTGAAAGGTAAAGTAGGCCGGTGTTCTTAGCCTCCGCCATTACCTTTTGCAGTCTTCTTCTACTAGCAATTTTGCTTATTTAACTTTAACAATTGCATATTTGCAGTCAATTTCATATTTATCAATTTACATAAGAAATCTTTTAACTAAAACAAACCATAATTATATTGTTGAAAATGAAATGCAGGGCCGATTAAGAGTATTTCTTTTCTAAGGATTTAACTGAAAACTATTAAAAGTTTGAGGGCTAAACATCACTATCCCCATTTTTTTGTTCCATAGTGCGACGTGGTGACGGGGTGATGTGTAGAGGAATTTTTTTTTTTTTTTTGAGGAAGACGTGTAGAGGATTGAAATTAGTTAATGATAACAGGTTTGAAAATTTAAGGACACAAACGGGACAAAAAAGACATTGCAGATGATTTCAATACTGCCTAGTTAGGAATTTTCGGTTATGCAAATTTGGGTCCCACAACTTTAGAACTTTGTATAGCTTTCATCCCTTAACTTTTTTATATACTTTTTTGGTCCCTTAGTTATGAAAAATGCATTTTTTTTAATCTTTCCATTGATTGATTCATTGAGTCTGTCCATATATGCATATTTTTTATTTTTCAACTTAAAGTATATGTACATTTTTTTCCTTAATTTAAAATTTTTAAAACTAGAAATATGTATATATAGACAGATTTAGTAAACTAATTGATTAAAGAACTAAAAAGCATATTTTCATTGTTAAAGGACCAAAAAAGTGTATAAAAGAAGTTAGGGATGAAAATTATGCAAAAATCTAAAGTTTAAGGATTAATTTGACATTTAACCAAATTTTTTTTAAAGGGGCAAAAAAAAAGTTTGTGTATCAATTAAAACATCAATGAAAGAAATTTTTTTTAGAACCAAAAATTATTTTAAATAAATTTTATTAATTTTTAATAATAAATTAACCATACTGATAAAGTAGTAAATGCTATCCATTGAAGGAAGACAATGAACATATAAATTAGTAATATGCTAAATAATAAAAAAAAAGACAAAATATATTAATGATGAACAATTTATAAAAGAATGATATTGAACACTAGTTTTTCATTCAATAATCTTTCTTTTTCCTCATCTTTTGTATTATTTTTGTTTTTCTCATCTTTCTTGTCATCATCAAAAATTATCTTCAAGGGTTAAAAGACTTAAAATTGTTTAAAATGGTATAAAATAATTAAAAAATAAAATAAATAAAGCATAATGGACTAAAATAATAATTCCACAAATGTTCCCCTTTTCTCCGCCACTGTTACCGCCCCAGTAGTTTGGAGACCAAAAAAAGGCAATTTAGCCTGTTGAAAATTAGACAAGATTGTTCTTGATCTATTTTATTAAATAGAAGTTCGGAATCATCTTTAAAATTTGCTTCGGATTTTTTTTTATTTTTTGTGTTAGATTATAAATTTAACAGTAATTCAATAAAAAATTTTGCTTTTGCAGGAAATAGAAGCAACAGAACTCGAAGAATGATGGTTGTGGCAGTC